CAAAATTCGCACGGTGCCCCGTTTGCAAAAACAACTGGAAACTGCTCTAATTCTTTCTGTCATTTTCATTTGATGATTTGATCTCATCCGTGAGTCGGACTCAACGGCCTTTGATCATGCATATTTGGTGTGTATTCGCTTTCTTAACGATCTAGTAAACATGTTCAGTCCACTTAAAGGATTAGTGCCACACCAGGAATTCGCGGGCTCAAACTCCTGTTGGCGGCCATTTTTCGGGACGAATAGACTAGATGATCTTGGAAAGTGTTTACAATCCGTCATATATTTAAACAATGTTAACAATCCTTTTATAATCCTTGCTCGTTTTCTCCGATTCTTATCACAAATGTACAAAACAAGGTATTTTTATTTTCTTGGAATTAACAACGACCACAAATGCTTAAAAATAGAACAATTTTATTGTTTACAACGTTTCGGAGTATTACTCCATCTTCAGGTAATAAAGATTGCCGTATTTTTATCGCTATTTGTTGTATTTGAGTAAAATGTAACCAATAACAAAAGCCCGCAATGCATGACCCTGACCACCGCTAACATGCAGAGCCAATTTTGAGGTTTGGTAAATACAAAATGTTATGCTGTTTTTAATCGCTCTTCCATGACATAAGCAAAACTGTTTACGAAGAGTTTATAACTAGTTTCGGATATGGTCTTTCTATTTTCGAATATTTTCACATCCTGTTATATAACAATAATATTACAAAAGGCAATCAACAATAATGTTACAAAAATATGATGACGACGTAATCAATGCATACAGTTCATCCATTATAAAAATGAACGCATTTACGAACGTTAAAACTTTAAAAATTCCTTTATACTGGATAGCTCTATCTATCTGCTCTAAACTGCCCTCCCAAGAGGTTCAGGGAACACCACATTGTTTATTGCAAAAAACGAACTACCGTTTCACAGCCAAATGGCATGTACAATAACAACGGTGTATCTGACGTCTTTAATGGTTATTGTGTCTCGTGTAAGATGATAACGATGTTTTTCAACCACAGAAAACAGCAGACTAGAGCGCGCACGTATACCCTAAGGAGAGGGGTAAAGTGACATGTACATTCATGTTTTTGGCATAGGGGTGGGGGGTCCACGAAGCGCGGAAGACGAGAGATACCCACGAGGTCCTCTGCTAAGGACTACTTGTAAGGCTAATTGGTATTGAATAAAAGTGCGTGTGGGAGGGGGGGGGCAGACTCCTCACCCCCCCCCCCGTCCCCTCGTGGCTTCGCCACTGCCCTTGACGTTTGTGTGGTAAAGAGGAAATATTTTGTGTCGTGATTTCGAGCATGGGAAACAGCCCTCTTATTGCTCATGTAGTGTCACTCACTCACTCCATGGGCCAACTAATTCCAAACTCCAAAACTTGGTTGGCCAACTACAAAATACACGAGCTACTTTTCCAAATTTAGAGTTACTGGCTAACGGCCCAAATCTCATGCCAAAGCATTGGAACTACCTGTCTGAACCGAGATTTACTCGATAACAACTCTAAAAATCATGTGAAATTGCATGCCTAACTAAACAACTCCAAAAATCATGTTGTCTTAATCCTGGAGCTAATGAGTGCGCTGGCGTAGACTAAACTCGCTTTCAAGATTGGCTAACTCCCCAAAAATAAGATCTGCAGGCATAAATTTCGAGAAACAACAGGCAATTATTTACGACTAACAGCAAACTTTGAATCGCGTCGAGGAAAACGGTAAGCCGTTGGAAGTGAGAACAATTTATGTAAAGAAATTGAGGAATAACTTAGTTTCTTAGCCGTTGAATTGTGTGGAACTTATGCTCAAAATCAATTTGGAGTTTGCTGTTGACAGTTAGCGATTTGCCGTACAGACGCGAATCTCATAAGGGACTCTTATCATGACGAAAATCGCGCCAAGTGCCGTCTTTCATTCGGAGCTCCGTTACTGAATACAAGATGTCATATTGTTGCAGGACACCAATTCGTAATGCCTTAAAGATATTGTGTTTCAAAACATATGTTTTATAATCTTTTTAAATATTTAATTTTAATTTTAATTTTAATTTTAATTTTAACGAACTTAATGAGGGGTTATTATTGTTTTATAGCATTATAGAAATATAGATTAGAAATATAGATTATACTTAATCGGTGTATAGATTTTTAAATGATTGTTAGGGTACCAAATAAACAAATCTCTTTTATCCATCTACCAATACTAACATTTTCTACATACCTCATTTCGTTTTCTTATTGCAGCCTTCGTTAAAACTTTCACAGCGTAAACTTTGTCTTCTTGTTTATGTTTCGCTAAGAACACCTGAATAATAATGTTAAGAATTTTAGCAGAAAAGAATTTGCATGTTCATATTAGACTAAGCCTATCGAACTGGATGATAGCTCAATCAGTTGTAAACTGTTCCCATATAGAGATCGAGTACACCTGAACTAAACTAAAACCTGGAAATCCAGTAAGAATTCTCTTATTGGTCAAGTGTCATTACGGGAGGAAACCTACACTAAACTAACTTTATTCACAGTGAAGATCTCTGTCTATGGTATTCTCGCTATCGGCCCAGTAATAGCTGGCCTTACTGACAGGAGAAATCTACTTTACAACTCTTACTGACTTTATTGGCAGGAGAAAATCTAAGTTCCACTCACACTAAGAAGAACTCTATCAGTTCTATGTTGTTCTCGCTATCGGCCCAGTAAGAGATAACTTTATTGACACGAGAAAATCTACGTTACACTCTTACTGACCTTATTGACAGGAGAAAATCTAAGTTCCACTCACGCTAAGAAGAACTCTATCAGTTCTATGTTTTTTTCGCTATCGGCCCAGTAAAAGCTTACCTTATTGACACGAGAAAATCTACGTTACAACTCTTACTGACTTTACTGGCAGGAGAAAATCTAAGTTCCACTCACACTAAGAAGAACTCTATCAGTTCTATGTTGTTCTCGCTATTGGCTCAGTAAGAGCTTACCTTATTGACACGAGAAAATCTACGTTACAACTCTTACTGACTTTATTGGCAGGAGAAAATCTAAGTTCCACTCACACTAAGAAGAACTCTATCAGTTCTATGTTGTTCTCGCTATTGGCCCAGTAAGAGCTGACCTTATTGACAGGAGAAAATCTACATTACACTCTTGCTGACCTTACTGGCAGGAGAAAATCTAAGTTCCACACACACTAAGAAGAACTCTATCAGTTCTATGTTGTTCTCGCTATTGGCCCAGTAAGAGCTGACCATACGACAGGAGAATATCTAAGTTACACTCCCAAATACTGAATAGCTTTATTAGTTCTAAAACTCCAGTTCTCGCCAGAGATCCAGAAAGGGCCAACATATAGTTTCCACAGTAGGAAACGAAAGATTTTAGTTGCTAAATACCTTCCCAAAGCTTCCTTTTCCAATAACCTTTAAGAAGTCAAAATCGTTCGGTTTCGCTCTAGATGGAGGTAAAACGTCATTAGTACAAAATTCTATCGAGCTTGCCATTGAAGCATCTTCCGTCGAAATGTGGAAGTTCAGCTTAGAATTTTCAGGTTGTTGTCTGTGATCGCCTCTACCCACACTGACCGTTTTAGTTACAGTTCCCGGCTATATCAACCTTGCAGCCCTCAAGTCACATGTCAAGGAGGAGTTACAAAAACTAAAAGAGTAAGTTAGGGTAGAAGAACGTTGTGGTTCATTATGAATAATCCTACCCGCCATACTCTTGCCAGATGACCTCGTTTACTTTATTCATGGACCAACCAAGCTCCTAAATTACTGCCCGTCAAAGTAAGAACTATGTACTTACTTTGGATTCATTGTACCTCCCAAATCCATCTTCTCAAGATCTTTTGCCTGAAAATGAACGAAATAAAGATCAGAAAAGTCAGAAAACATATAGACACGGTCAATATGGAAAACTATAGATACAGTAGGGCCATGGTTTCTGTTTTGATAGTACATCTGTTAAAACCCAGAAAAACTACCTGAGTGCCACAAACGTTGTTCGGCACAACGCTTGAACCTATAATTTTCTCATGATTGTTAGCCAGCTTAGCCATTTCAGCGACAATATCTGGAACTCAGAGACATTCTGAGGTCAATATGAAATTTGGATTCTTTATATAGATCGTGTGACGTGTGGAAAGTGACTGATTGCTTGGTTTACCTAAAAATTCCTTAAGGCGTTCTTTCCAGTTAAAGTTATACATCATCAAACGATGGACGCTCGTTCTGGTAGACTGGCATTGCGCAATTAACCTTAGATGTAGTTTCACCAAATTTGCAATGGATGATTCGAGCTGTAGACTAAATGTTGATCTGGGCAAGAAGAACAAAATCCATCAGCACAGCTAGAAAGAGCATGTTAAAGTTAGTAAAACCGCAAAGTTTGGCCGCGAAATGTTGTAAAATGCGAAAAATATAGCCATGCGAAATTTTGCAAATTTTGTATTAATTTGTATTACGCGCGGGAAAATGCACCATTTTCCCGTAAGGGACTGGTCATTATTTATGGCGGGGGGTGGCACCGAAGAGAAAAGGGTTGGGTAAACAAAATTTTAAGTAAGTAAAAGGTTGGATAAATGAAAAACAAAACAACTCAAGGGTTGGGTAATAAACAAAACAACTCAAGTGTTGGGTAATAAAAAATTATTGTCATTTCCAAAGCATGACTCACTGAAATATTGGAGACTAAAAAGCAATGTCAATATAATATGTGCATCAAGTCATTATCTTCATCATTTTCCAATTTGTCAGGAGACAAATTGTGTCTCCAAAGAAACTACAAGTGCAGACAATATGAAACTTTAGATTGCAGAAAATTTCACAAGCCGTTATCAAACTCGTGTCACAGAAGTGGCAATTAAAAGGACATGTGTGACAACTGAATGGTATCCCTTTGTAAAGGTTTTGGCCAGGGGTGGGTATTCATTTTTTAATTGATATTTGAGGTTTATGGGTAATCAAATTTTTGACTTTTTAATGGTTGCGTCAGCAAAATTTTTTCCACAAAAAACATTTCTCTTCGGTGCCACCCCCCACCATAAGTAATGACCGGTCCCTAATACAAATTAACACAAAATGTGCAAATTTCACTGACAATATTTTCCGCATTTTACAACATTTCGCGGTCAAACTTTGCAATTTTACTAATTTTAACATGCTCTTCTTGCTGTGCTGATGGATTTTGCTCTTCTTGCCGAGATCAAAATTTAGTCTGTAACTCGAATCATCTATTAATTACGAAAACAAAACGAAATGCTGCTTACGAAAAAAATACGTTTGGTGGGAGTTTAATTAAGGTAACTCCGCAGTTTTGCATTGCGCACTTTTACTGCGCACATCTTATAACTTATAATTTCATCCATTTTTACGTACCGTTTAAAAAAAAACATTTTATGACAATTTTATGTTACTTCAAAACATCTTTGGTTACATTCGTGCAAAGAATTACGTTAAAATCAATGTTTTCAAAAAAGGCATACAAAAGTGTAGCTAGGGTTCCTGTGTCTGTAGTATATTTATTTACTTGTATTTCACGTTTTAATGCCACAATTCCCTAAAAAGATCGGTGACCCCCGTTTTTTAACTGACAATTTATTTCTTTAATGCATTTTACATTTCATATCCGAAATTAAAAGAAAAATCATTTCTGGATCTTGAAAAAAAATCCTTTATCAATGCATGCTCTCAAAGAAAGATATGTAAAGAAATGTGGAAATCACATTTGTGGATCAGAATTGTACACGTTAGTAGTTTCATTTTGCTCAAAACACAATATTTTTTCAAAAATAATTACAAGATAGGTTTACTAAAGCAAAATCCGCGCTAAAAACGTCAATAAATATCGGGCTGTTGTGATTTTGCTGTTACTCGTAATGAGCGTCAAGATGGTGCCATATTGGGGTAAAGGTGGTATATTGTGATTGTCATATCTTCTTAACGAGTTCGGTGACCCCGACTTCTTGTGTGATTTTATACATGTCATAAACTCCATGCCTGGGAAGTTTCAGCACATACTCATTTCGGGAACAATTACTACGGAATTACCTTAAAACCTTTCTAGTGCTGCCTGAACCAAAAATACAGGTTTTCCGCGAGATTGACGCACAAAAAAGCGCTTTAAATTTGAAACTTAAACCGATTATCTCCAAATCGTGACACAACGATTAGGGATTTGGTTTTTTTTAGTGATACACCCCTCACAGTGTTCTGTAGAACGGGCGAAACATTACCCCTGGCAGGTTCCAGGAGCATAGCCTTTGGTAGTGCGGCTAGTGCCAAGCAAATTGGATCTCCCTTTTACCAAGGCCTGCAGAGGGATTCGGCACCACCCTCCCCAGTAGCAAAATCATTACTTTGATTTCTGCTCGCTGATGTCAGGTCACATATTTGTAATAATTATTCATTACTCTGTGAATCAACCGACAACTGCTTGATCATCACACTCTTGTTTTTATCTGAAGCAATTGACCATTTGCGTAACAGACAAAATTTTGATCTAAACAAGTGTTGACAAAAATTTCATCACAGCTTGAAAGAGCATCACAAAATTAGTAATATTCGAAAGTTTCGTTGCGTAATGTTGTAAAATGCGGATAATATAGCCTTGCGAAGTTTGTAATTTTCAGTCATTTTAGATTACAAACGGGAGATTGACAGCCTCAAAGCGTATCGGGCTGTCAATTTCCCGTTTGTAATCTAAAATGACTGAAAATTGCAAACTTCGCAAGGCTATACTATCCGCATTTTACAACATTTTGCAACGAAACTTTGGAATATTACTAATTTTGTGATGCTCTTTCAAGCTGGGATAAAATTTTTGTCCAGATCAAAATTTAGTCTATTACGCAAATGGTCAATTGCATATCGAATATGCGAATGATTTTGAGGAACGCAATTTCCCGCACTTTTGAACAGTCACGATTGTCTAAACGATCATAATGTCGAATTTAGGATCTCTTGATTTCGTAATCCCTTAAACTACGCAAAATTCCTGTTTTACGGGAGCCCTTTTCTATGGTCATTATTCGTCTAATCATGCCAACAATGCGAAAATTCAGAAACCCCCCGAAGTGCTCATCGAGCTTTGCCTTTGTTCCATACCCAAAATCTTTCATTTTTGGGAAGTAATTAAGGATTTTTTAGCATAGTATGAATAACTAGATCTAGAAATAAAGATAGAGCTATTTTAATAGAGGTATTTTACCTGGGAGTTTGCAATTTCTACGTGTGGAACAAAATATGTTTAAAGGATAGGTATAACTCCGGGCTCAAATTTCGATTTTTGGTGTGAAGGCCACGCCTGGCGTTTTGGCTGCCTGGCGTTGGACAAGTTGCGTATGAATGTCTGGCGTTTTGGCTTTGACAAGTTGCTCCTGAAAACGACAGGTTCATGTTCAGATCCGATCAAAAACATATAAAAATGAATCTGTTTTGATTTAATTAACGTTTTTCTACTAAAAGGACAATGAAAAAGGTATGCTATTTTTTGTATTTTTTCTTGTCGTTTCACGATAATATGCTTGAAAAAAGTGTTTTTAAACACAAACTTTTACTTTGTTTACAATATTTTATATATCAGTGAAAAATACATGACACAAGTCAAATGGGTAGAGAATATATTCGTGACTTGTTTCCACTGCTGCAGTTAAACCTTCTTTTATAAATGGGAAAACATTTATTTTACAATATCTGTTTAAACTGTAATTTTTTCGCTTTTAAGTGACCGAATACATGAGCATCTAAAATATAGTTTTCTCGACGTAAGTTTTATACATGTCAAATACTTTCCGACTTTCAGTCGCATTTCTATCAAAATATTGCATTCAATTCTCGTGAACATCGTGCTTAGTATGAAGCCTTTAGGGCTTGATGCAATTCATTTTCGTATTCTGACTATCGTTAGGCTATGTTTTTTAAACGTTTTTGGCAGATTTTGTCGTTTAAAAATTGTTTCACTCCTCAGTTTTTGGCGCGACAACCAGAGCGGGCAGTTGCATTTCACAGCGGGCAGTTGCGTTTCAGAGCGGGCCGGATGCAAAAAACCGGCCCGCTCTGAAAGGCTCCTCAACCAATCAGATTGCTTCAATTTCACTGATAAAAAATAAACGCATTTATTCACAGAAACAAGGATTTCATTCATTCTTGTACTTCATGCAGTAAACAAGCATAGCCGACTTTAGTATTTTTGTACAAGTGAACATAACAAATCATACAAGGTGATTGGCCAAATTTGACGTATTAATAACCAGTGGTGCAACTTTACTTTTTTGACCACTTGCCCTCAGGGCAAGTTGGACATGAAAATAATTTGCCCTGAATAAAATTCACTTGCCATCAGACAATGGCCACTGGGGTACCTAGATAGGGGGCATAAATTAAGGGGACAACATGTTGACCCGTTCTCCCACTTCTGTATATGGCTCTGTTATACTCTGCCTCAGATCTAGCTTTGGCCCACAAAAGCAAAAATTTGAAACAAGTACATGCACTATAGAAAATTTATCCGACAATGAAAATATAAACTTAAAGATGCCCAGCTTTTTGTGGCAAGGCAACTTGCCCAATCGGGCAAGCAAGATAAAACGTTTACTTGCCCGTCATGATATCCACTTGCCTTGGGCAAGCGGGCAAGTGTTAAGTTACACCTATGATAACAAAACAGAAATTTTCAAAATGGCTGCTACCCGTTTTGTGGAAGTTTACCGACAAAGAAATAAGCGCAATTAAAATAAATTCAGTCTCAAAAAACACAAAAGCTTGTGTAAAAATACTAAAACAATTATTCGCCTCAGGCTCGGTGATTATCGGGGAATATTCACCTCGACTTCGTCTCGGCGAATAATTGTTAAATATTGATGATGCTACAAACTGGATAAAAAAGATGACCACTTGTTCAGCTGCTTACTTTCTTACCACAGATGTTTACCTAAAACACTTTCGAAAGCCTGGTACTGATCCCATTCCCGTCCCATGGAGAGCAGGCATTTTCACTCGGTCACTCGTTGAAAATTAGGCTCTGGGTTAGACGACTAAAGGGAGAGATATGATTGGCTTCTCAGAGAAATGCTATTTCGCAGAAGTTGAGCAGTTTTCGCTAGGAAAAATTATTCTATCAATATATGTCAATGCAAATATTTTTTTTCTTCGTAATACGTCACTGTGAAAATTGTTACGGATGCTAAAGTGTCCCAATTCAAGAGCATGCGCTTTAGAAGCTACTGCAAGTTTTCTTGCACTTCCGGTTTCGTGTGTCCCAGGGCCTATGGAGGCCGGGGACGAGGAAGGGTAGATCCTGCGCATGCAATGGCGAGAATACCACCCTGGTTACGCAACTCGTTTTCATGTATTTTATAAGGTTTTTGATTGTGATTTTTTTCTTGGTTGAAGTTAATATCGGGAAAAAAATAATGACAACCATTTTTCAAAGCGGTTTAATATTGTTTGGATCGAACGTAAACAATCCATAACGGCCCAATGGACCATTTGCATTATAGACTAAATTTTGATCTTGACAAAAATTTCATCACAGCTTGAAAGAGCATCACAAAATTAGTAATATTCCAAAGTTTCGTTGCGAAATGTTGTAAAATACGGATGTGTTGTAAATGTTGTAAATAGCCTTGCGAAATTTGCAATTTTCAGTCATTTTGTATTACAAACGGGAAATTGATGCCCCGACACCCGATTGGGCTGTCAATTTCCCGTGCGTAATACAAAATGACTGAAAAACGGCAAATTTCGCATGGCTATATTATCCGCATTTTACAACATTTCGCAACGAAACTTTGGAATATTACTAATTTTGCGATAATGGATGGCGAACGTGTTGGGATAACGTTTTTACTGAAGGATCTCACGCCGCCGTTTTTTGGTGTTTTGTCAGCCGAGGTCTGAGAGATAAGTCCACATAACAGCGACTTCTTATAATTTTTTGGACGAATGATGGTAAATTTGCTTCGTAAATGGTTAGTTTATTTTGCTTTTCACATTGTTTTAATTGTCTGCATTGGTTAACGAGAATTAGATGTCACCCAAAAATGGCGGATGTTCGTCATCGCGAGAAAGGCTAATTGATCGTTTTTGCCTCGCTTCTCACTTGTCCCAGTCGTCTTAGTTTTATGAAAAGAAAAGCCTGTCTTTGCTTTACATGATTTTAATACGTGCGGCACACGCGAGTGAAAGAAATCGCGCGCGGGGTTGCACATAAACATACTTTCAAATAGGTTTGTTTGTCGATTGTGAAACGTCTAGGAAATTGAAATTCTAAGTCATAACGCAACTATATTATACGCAATGCCAGAGGGCCATAATGTTATTGTTTTGTTATGCTAGTACGATAATTAATGGTTTGTCTTACTAACACACCAAAACATCCTAAATAGACATAGACAGGGTGTGTAATTTGAATGCTATAAGAACACAGCTGATACGCCTTGTAGAACTAATGTTATAGTCAGAAAAAAAATTTGCGTACATGAAAAACTTGATTTAAATGCATGCGCTTTCAAAGTCACACTATAGAACGCCGCTGTGCCGAACTTGTTTATGTCGAACTCGCCGCTATTAATTTTGCTTCCCTCATGAATTATGATTTTGAACCCACTTCAGAGCGTAAACATACAGCGCATTTGGGGCGTAAACATATGACAAAAAAATGCACTCCTTCAGTTTGGGATACCTAAAGCACAGTTGTGAAACAAACAGTATTGACGGTTTTTTATTGTATATTTCACAAACAAAAATCGTGTATCAATGGGTCATTGGACGAGGTCTGACCATGTTAACAATTATTATGAACCAATTTTTGTTATTTGGCGCTGCTTTTGGCAATCTCGACCTTCATTCTGTTTTCTTGTTCGGTGTTTTACGTAAAATATACTACTGAGGATGAATCGACACTGTTTCCAAATACAGAGTGTATCAAAAAACCTGCAAACCTTTGAAATACAATGTTTTTAGAATTTGCATGATTCAGAACTAATTGATCCCAAGCGTGCGTATAAACACTGCAATAGTTGGCACATTCGCAGTCGACCTGATAATTAGTTTTCTGCATTACAAATAACTTCGTGTTATTCTAATTTCTATCAGCGCGGTTAATTATTTGTTTATTTATTTATTTAATTTACCCAAAAACAGGAAAGGCGCACCCCAAAGAGCCGAAGCTCCAATAACGCGTTTCCCGAATTAGAATGTATTTTCAAATCCCAGGAGCAACATAAGTAGCACAGACATTGAAATTCTAGTATAAAGCAGCAGAATTATGCAAATTATAGTGTTTGTAGGTTTTTTGATACACCCTGTATATGCAGTTTAAAATATACACTGTGTAGGATAACATAAGTTTTATACGAAATAACATAAGTTTTATATACGAAAGCATTTTCACTTAATTCTTAAATATTTCCAAATTTTACAAATATAACACATGATCACATCATAATATGCTCATTATGCTTTATACAGTATGTCTAAAAAAAACAACGCTATGCCTATGGAAATTCATCAGGCTGTTGTGCATCACAAACTTAACTAGACAATTCAATTTTTACATAGGGCGAAAGAGCTGTTGTTTAGCTTTTCTATGATATATTTCGTAAACCGTAACGATAAGAAATGGCCACATACTCGTCAAATAAAAATTTTCGGTTGAAATCACATTCTCCCACCGATGGGAATTGTAAATACATTAATTATGCAAAGTTAATCAATCTAAAAGCACCGCGAGTCTGCTGCAAGGTACTTGTTTCGTAAAACGTTTTGATTACGAATGTTCTCTGCTCAGGGTTTAATTGAACCATGTTTAATGCAATAATGGACTTCTTATTGTCTCACAAAGACGAAGATTGACGAGTTGAGCTTATTTTATATAATTTAATATTCAATTTTAATTCCATCTTGGGAATTGTCTCTGTTTTGTTTTCCCAATCTCGTTCCCCGAGCCAGCGATCCTCGGGAAGGAACGCGAGGTTCTGGGATAATCCGTTGCCGGAAGCCAGGAATCCTGGCTAAGATTGAACTACGCATTCCATTTCAACGGCCAATCAGATTCCTCCCTGAAACGGATTATCCCAGAGCCTCACGTTCCTTCCCGAGGATCGCAGGCTCAGGTAACGAGATTGTTGTTTTCGATGCAATTCCCAACGGTGGAAGAATGTGATTTCGACCGGCAATTTTTATTTGACGAGTATGTGGCCATTTCTCATCGTTACAATTTAAAAAGTGTATCATCGAAAAGCTAAATAACAGTTCTTTCGTCCTATGTAAAAATTGAATTATTTAGCCACGTTTATGATGCACGACAGCCTGATGAAGTTCCATAGCGTTTTTTTGAGACATCCTGTATAAATAACTACAGTGAAACACGCAATTTGATTGGTCAATAGCCGTGCAGGATCAGGCTACCCTGCACGAAGAATTGAAATGCCTTCGCCTGATTTTCGCGGGATTCTCAAAATGTCATTGTTTCACTGTAGTTATTTTATAAAACAATTACGAAATGGTTTTCCAAGCAGGATAGCATGATCCATGCACTTGGGATGTTGCTCGACTTTCGGAAAGCGTAAAAATACATTCGCCTGCGGCTCGAGTATTTTTTATACGCTTTCCGAAAGTCTCGCGACATCCCTCGTGCATGGATCACGCAATCCTGCACGGAAAACCATTCGCTATTCCTTTAGTCTCATATGGATTAATTTAAAGAATTTCATAACGATTTTAATGCACATGTGAAAAACACGAACTCAAAAGCAGGCTAAGAGCCCCCCAAAACTGCGCGACTTTAAAATGTGGGCGATTTTGATGGCATCGACTATTTCGCTGACCTCAGACTGACATTTCGTCAAACTTTTTTTTCTCCAAAATTGGTTTAGAAACAATTTGGAGTAGGGTTAGGATCAGGGTCAGAGTTGGTGTTTGGAGTAGGGTTAGTGTTAGTAAAACCGTTGCTTTGTTACGTTTTGTCACTCTGAGGCCAGCAAAATATTATTTCGTCCGATTTTGATTGACATCATAAAATCGGATGTTTTTGCATTCCATTCTACGTACGAGCAGCACATAATATACCCTGAGAGAAGAGCCTGATTTCCCCTCGCGGAGAAAATAAGGCTCAGCCGTTTTTGTGTTTAATTTCTGTCCTGTTTCCAATATTATGTCAAAACATGTTACACGTCAATTGCAAAAGAAATTGCATCATTGCTATGAAAAAATTTCATGCACAATTATTGAATTGTTATATGTACCATTGTGTAGAACTAAGTTACGTCAATTCTCTGTGTCCTATCAAGGTTCAAGTTTTTTTAATACACTGAGTAACGATATTCGTGAAGCACGGACTCTTCAACAATTCCAATTCAAATTAAGAAACTTCTTGATTCTCTGGACTATAACATGTTTTTAATACTTGGGTTTTAATACCCTAAAACCAAGATGTGCCAAATTTAGTTAAGTCAAGTCTATCTGACTACTATAGCACAGCTGTGAATAAATTATTCATGATAATCTCACATGTGAAAATTATCGCTTTTCAATTATCGCTTTTCTGTAAAAAATATCGCTTTTCACAGACTGTTCTTTATATAATAGACAGAAAAATACATGGGTGCTTGGAAATACCAGATTTATTTCTCGTGTTGAACATGATATCTCACTCGTTCGATATCATGTTCAAAAGAGAAATAAATCTGGTATTCCGCGCAACCATGTATTATTCTCTATGTAATACTTTTATAAATAAGGAAGCCCATGCATAACTCAATAAGCCTTATGGTTCTGCTTGGGCTTCCTCGTCACATGCATCTTTCATTATGTTTGTTTTGTAAATAATTCTTTTTTTGTGGCAATTTAATAAATCGAATTGAATTGAAACATTTATATATTTTAGTAAACTGCTGCCTATACAGCCGGTTATTTAATAAAATGCTGGCTATATAGTAGTCTCCTTCGCAACCGCTCTTTGTGTCAAGGTTTCTCCCATAGATATCTTATATACACTAGATAGCGCATCTCTTTTAGTAAAATTGAAGCCAAGAATATTCCAGCGGTTACCCCCATTTGAATAGATGGCGGCCATGTTGGAGTTTCCCACTCGCTAATAAACGCTTAAAAAACAATAACTTTCATCATTTGAATAGTTTGAAAATGTATTTGGAATAGCTTTAACTTAATGTTTAAGTTCCCTGTTTAAGAAATAGAAAACATACGAGTCTTCTCATTTCATGCGAATATCAGAGTCTGCAATCACGGCTTCAATTTTTGAATTGCAAAATAATTAGATGCACTATCTAGTGTATATAAGATATCTATGCAGGTTTCTCCCCACAAGCGGCTGCTCACTCGAGTACAACATTCCATCCCCTTTGTCTTACGTTAGCCAATCAGATTTAGCGACATAAATATCTAAATAAATTTAGCGACGTAAATATCTTAATAAGTCCAAGGTCATAACTGCTGACCCGTAACCTTTTGAAAGTTAGAAAAGGTGGAAAAAAAGTTTAAAAAATTATTAAGAAAAAAATATGCTATTAGTCAGATAAAACACAACCCGACCCGGACTGTGTTTCACTTTCCGCACGCAGCACCTTTACCGTATACGCCAACGGCAAGCTTGGTAAAAACTAGCACAAACAAAAGTTTTTATATTTAACTATATAGTCACAATACAATATAAAAAAAAACTGAACAGATTTAAAATTGCTCTCAATTTCGCAAAACAGCTATTTGTATCCGGTTTTTTATATATATAGCCTCTTTGGGTACTTATAATGTAGAATAATGAGAAAAATTTCTCGAACTCAAATTTTGTGAACCAGGGGGGTGTGTCTTTTCCAACAAACTAAAAATGGCTCGCGCACAAAATTTAAAAGCTGCAATCATATTTGAGTTAACAGATGGAACATTTGTCGGGTTTTTAATTACTGTACAAAATTTCAGACAATTTGGTTTAGTTTAAGCCCCTTAACTATTCACGCAAAGTTACAATTTTCCCGAAAAATCAGCTATTTGCATGCTTAATTAATGCATTTGCCTGATTTGCATATGTCAGCAATATGCAAATTAGGTAAAGGCATTAATTAAGCATGCGAAAGGCTGACTTTTTAGAAACTAAACCAAATTGTCTGAAATTTTGTACAGTAATTAAACACCCGACAAATTGTCAATCTGTTAACTCAAAATATGATTACAGCTTTTAAATTTTGTGCGCGAGCCATTTTTAGTTTGTTGGAAAAGACACACCCCCCTGGTTCACAAAATTTGAGTTCGAGAAATTTTTTTCATTATTTTACATTATAAGTACCCAAAGAAGCTATATATATAAAAAACCAGATACAAATAGGCGTTTTGCAAAATTGAGAGCAATTTCAAATCTGTTCAGTTTTTTTTTTATACACCCTGTATAGCCGACAATTCACTATATACCCGGCTGTATTGTCACTTTATTTATATTTGATACGATAAAGAATGTTCAGATTGCAGTCTCTTCTCTACCACAATCACTGTCAGAAAGCCACCATTTTTATAATAAAAACAGACAAAATAAGAGTTACAAAATGGGCATTTTATTAATGTATCATGTATTCATGTATATGCTCTATATAAAAATGAAAAAATACATACAATCTGTAAATACATTTTATTTAATAACTTAAACTCAACTTATGAGCAATCCTATAATTGTATTAAAGATGTCCTGTGACTAATGCACCATATAAACAAAATTTTGACGTAACATAATTCTAAAATCTAAATGATGCGACTATAAATGTTAAAATGTAGCTACCATAACCAGGTTAGGGAGACTGTTCAGTGAATTGAAATCTAGTTCTTCTGGGAAAAAATATTAAAAAACTCATTAATAATTCATGAAGAAAACACAAAGAAAAATCATAAGCGTGTCGTATCTGCATGTATATGTGATACAGATTCATGTTGATTTACATAAACTTTAACTTTGATTTTCTCGGCCTAATAGACAACGTTTATTTTTAAAATTACTTCGCCAATGAACTCATAAGTTGAGTCGTTTTTTAAGTTGTTTACAACATTCGCGTCCGTGTTGTATCAGATATACGAACTCTCGCCTTCGGCTCGAGTTTGTATATCTGATACAACACGGCCCGCTCATGTTGTAAACATTAGATAAAAATTAAGTCTTCTGAAATGGCGTTTCCTGCATTTGGGGACTATGTTGTTATAAATATCCTATAAATTGCCATAAAGTAACTTCAAAAAAGGTCCGAGACAGACTATTATGTTGCTAAAAACAGTACATTTATAATTTTTTTTATGATATTTCCTGAATATTCTGAAAAATCGGGAGAATTTGATAAAAATCGGGAGACCGGGAGATTGCATGAATTTTCGGGATACTCCCGGTAAAATCGGGAGAGTTGGAATGTCTGCATAACAAAATAATTATGAATATATGAATAAACCATCGATATTATTAAAAAAGCACGCACGGTCACTCACGAAAAAGCTTTACGATGTTACTTTGGAAAATCTTCTAGGAAAAAACAAAAAGTTTTTTATCGGACATTTAGCAGTCAGCCAAAGTCAAACCTCGAGTCAAACAAACAGTTTCTCTTCACCCTGTAGAAAGCCGCCATCTTTGTTTTACGACCTGTTCGCAGGCGTACAAGCCCTAATTCTAGTGGACCTGAGTGTTTAACGCACACACCCACACCTTTGCTTTTGGACCAGTAAACTATACGTAGGTATAAAAACACACGACTCGGAAGTAGTCTTAGGTACGTCTTGACTCTTAAGTTTGTACCAGATCAGGTACGCGGCAAAAGTTGTCGGAGTACCAGTCAGGTAC